CTCAGTCCCGGGAAAGGACAATTAAATCCCATCAGCCTGGGGTTCTGCTCAAGTTGTCCCTCCTCCTACGGCCCCAAAGCTACAGGGAAAAACCCCAAACTGAGCTGCACTCACTCCCGTGACAGCTTTTGTTATGTTGTGCCCGCTATGTGCAAGAAGCTGTGCGAGGTACTTGACAAAAGTCAGCCCCACTTTTGCAGAGGAGGAAATCTGAACAGAACACAACAGTGGCCACAAGGCTGGCTGGCACGTGCCGAGTGCTTACTATATGCCAGGCACAGGTTCAAGCATTACACATGCGTGTACAAGGACTTCACCCTTGAAACAAGAGTTGCTAATGTCATCTCTATGTCACAGATGAGGGAACCGAGACACAGAGTGCAGTAGATTGCCCAATACATGGTAGAGCAGGGATTCACACCCAGGGCTCCAGGTTCAAGCCTGGGACTTAGCACTAGGCTCTGCTTGTTCCAGATCCCGAATCCCCTGGCCGCCAAGGGCTGATCATGTATGCACATGGTGATAAAACAAGGAGAGAGCAGGGAAACCTGGGTGGCTTAGTGGTTGAGCATTTGTCTTTGGCTCAGGGTGTGATCCGGGGTCCTGGGATCGAGTCCTGCATCAGGCTCCTCAAGAGGAGCCTGCTTCTCCCTCTGCCTGTGTCTCTGCCTCTCTCTGTGTCTCTCATGAATAAATAAATAAATAAGTAAATAAATAAATTAATCTTAAAAAAAAAAAAGAGGAGAGTGCAACAAGTAGCCTCAATCAGGGTCAGATAAAAATCCTGGGGGTGGGGGAGGGGAGGGCTCAGAGAAGGAAGAGCTCCCATGGATCATGAGGCAGCACAAACTGAAGGTTTGGGCATAGAAAGATAAGGAAGTACAGGGAAGGGCAGCTCTGATGGCAGGAATAGTGTAAGCGAAGGCATGGAGAGGAGAGAGTGTAGCTGAGGGCCCGGATTTGTACCAAAGTGTTTACCAAACTGGGTTAGGCCGCGTACTAATGAGCATTCCACAAGCCAAACGCCTCGTGTTCATATGTTTGGGGAATGCTTGGAGTAAACAGGGTCCACGCTGGGATCCTACGACTCTGGGCTCCTCAGGCCTCAGGTGCCAATGGGCGCGAGCGGCCAGGGAAGCCGTGGTCCGCGGGGAGGAGGCCTGGCTGTCTTGCAGCATCTCAGGTCAGCTTTTTGGAAAACATGTGGCTGAGAACCAAGGCCTGTCAGGGAGGAGGCCCGGCACACTGCTGCACTTTTCTTTTCAAGTGTTTTTGGAGAAAACTGGGACCCACTCAACAGTTTTGAGCCAGGGAGTGACATGATCTGCATTGTGTTGACAGGCCAGAAATCTGAGCACATTTAGAAAGGGGGGTGGGGGGGAGAAGAACCTTCCATCAGTCCAAGACTCTACAAATAAGAAAATAACCTGTCGCACGGAGCCATTGGAAGCAGCGAGCGAGTGTGTGTGGGCTCCGTACAACAGTTTTAGACTCCCTTCCTCTCACACACCCCCTCTCCATCTGTCGCAAAGGGCATCGGGAAGATGCAAGGAGGAATATTCCAGCTCTGGGGGCTCCAGAGCTCGGCAGCCCAGATGGGGGGCTCTGGTGGAAGCCACATAGCTCCTGTGAGCTGTTCCATCCTCTGTGTGCCTTCTGAGAGACGACCGTGACTCAGGGAAGGACTTCTGCCCCAGAGGAACTCCTCACGCACCTCCATCTAGGCCTGGAGGGGGCTCCTCTCGCTCCCTCCAGCCTGGACTAAAGTCACCCTGATTCAGTCAGTAAAGTTCTTCCCTCAGAGGCTACCCAGCCAGAAGGACTGGATTCAGAATCCCGGCGCCCTGCCACATACTCCTTAGGCAAGTTACTTCTCCAGTCTGGGACTCAATTTTCCTCATCTGCAAAATGGGGTAACAGCCAACTCGTGCTTTGCCTTGCTGCTTAAGGAGATGACACAGACAGGCACTCGGCACAGTCTGGGGTACAGTTAACTTTCAGAGACGTGGGTTCTCCTCCCTTCTCTCTCAACATGTGGTTCACATCAGGACTTTGTACATGCTGAATGACTACAAATAGAGCAATGAATCACACCGTGCGTCTCCAGGGAATTGGTAAAGGAATAATTAATGGCCAGAAAGTACCTGGAGAACACCATGGCTTTAAGGAAACTTCCAACAGCCTGAGCCCACTGGGGCCCAAGCGCCCCCCATCCCCTATGTCTTCTTAAGAAAGAGGAAGTGAGATTAACTTCACCATTTAGGAAAGTACACAGGAGCCACCAGTATGTCCCCCCTCTACCAAAGGGTCAGAAGGTCACTGGAGAACCCAGCTGTCCCCCAACACCTGAACCCCAACGTGGCCTGGCCTCCTCCAGGCTAGAGTGAGGAGCCAGTGGGAGCTCACCAAGGTCCACCCAGTAGGGGACCCAGGGGACCATGAGCTCGGTGGGGCCACCCAAGGAGCCCACATGTTCTGTGCCAGGTGCTGCGGGCTGCTGCAGAGCCGGGCTACCCGGGTGTCCCCAAGCCCCAAGCCCAGCTCCCAGGCTCCAAATCTCCCTCAGCGGGGTTGTTTTAGGAAACAGGCCTCACGTTGGCTCCAAGAACACAGGTTGGTGACTTCACTGGCATCATTTTAGAATTTCCCTTTGGCAGCATTTGTGCTATAAGCAATCTTTAGAAACTTCTTCTCCTGCCTTCCCCAACCCAGATAATTCACATGACCAGCCCCCTGCAAACAGTGATCATGTGGAGTCCCAGTAATCATGTGACACCTCCCGGGCTGACAGTTCTGCCCGAGACACTAGTAGTCATTCAACCTAACGCCGCCTTCCTAAGCCTGACATTTGAGTTTCTCACTTGAACAAATCTATTTTCTTGGAAAATTGGACAACTGCCTCCTTCTACCTTCCTGCCCTCCTCTCCTCTCTTCTGCTTTGTCATAAACTCCATGCTGGGAGCAGCCAAGGGAGGGGCCCGAAGCCCCATCCTGCCGTCAGCCCAGGTGAATCCCATGCCAGGGCCCAGAGTGTGACCAGCAGCCCAGAGGACACAGAGCAAAGGATGCTGGCAGGCTCCGCTATGATGGCAACACCCCACCCCTGCCCCAGCACCTTCTGCCAAAAAATTTATTCTTACCTCCTAGGATTTATTTATCTCAAAGTTAATCTAGGCCCCTCTGCTGCTCCCACTTTTTCAGGCTATTGATGCTGAATGGATTGGAACGGAAGTTTTACGGCCTAATCTTTACCATTTTATAGATTGTTTTTATAGGCAAAAAGGGGTGATTTGCTCACAAGAAGGGTGTTGGCGTTCCCAGCCAGCGCCCCGGGAAAGGCAGGCTGCCCATCCGAACACTTGTTAATCAGTGTCACCGGTCATTTGCCAGAAACTGAACCACAGGTCCTGGTTGGAGAAGGGTCTAGAATAGACATTTAGAAATTAATGTGGGCCCAGTTCCCTGTTTCAGGAAAATTAAGTACTTGCGAGAGACACTTGTGCATTTCCCGGCCAGGCCAGGCAGGACGTGGGGGCAGGAACTGGGACTTTTGCAGGGTGTAAATGGCTGGCTCGGGCAGGAAGGAGCAAATCGGAGATGCCACTCACCAGGCAGACATGAAATGTATCAGTGCTTCCTTCCTCCCAGCCAGGACCCAACGAACATGGAACATGCCGCGGGAAGACCAGGGTGGAGTGGGGTGGGGTGGGGTGGGGTGGGGGGGATGCCTACGTGGATTCCTGGGGTACTGGGGAGACTGCAGGGCAGAGAGAAGCTGCTGTCCACCCCCACTTCTCCCTCCACCCACTCTTTGCCAGTTCTCCCTTCCTCACTGCTATCAGATGGTTACCAGTCTCTAGGCAAATGCAAAAGGCACGAGGGGGGGGTGGACGGGAGGTGGGTACTGAGCTCATCTTTACCTCCCTCCTCAAGGATGGTGATGCAGACCCCTCTGCCTACCACACAGCTTCAAGTAGCCAAAAAACAAGATCCCCATTCGTCCCCCCACCCTAACTCCTTTAAAGCCATTACTCTGCCGCCTGTGCCCTCCCAGGAGACCCATGGTTTTGCAAAACCCCTTTAAGATGCAGGACTCCTGAATGGTGACCTCACCCCTTGGCGAACACACACACACACACACACACACACACACACACACACACACACACACACGGTAGCCTTCAGAGCCTGCCTGCTGGAGACAGCCAGGTGTTTGATGTAAGCCAACAAAAAGACATGCTCAGAGCCACAGGTAACAGCCCCATGGAGCACCTGAACTGCAGGGAGCTGCCTGGAAGCCGGGGGTGGGGGTGGGGGGATGGCAGGAGGAAGTGGGGGAGCCTAGAGAACAGCCAGGAGCACACCATCCAGCAAGAGGCTTTGGCAAGCACAGGGACAATCCACCAGCGCTTTCGCATCGGGATCTGTTGATCACAGCAGCTCACCCAGAGTTACTGCGGCCTCCCTTCCTCTCTGTCTCTCATACACACACCAACACTGTTACTCTGCACACCAGAGGGAGAGCTCACTCTTCCCTCATTGCAATAGGCTACTTCTGTTCCCTTCCAGGTAGTACCTGGGGGACCTTTGCCTCGACCCCCTTCTCTCAGACCCTGAAGTCGGACTCATCAAGAGCATTAAGTCCAGGGAAAGAGCTTCTGGAGAAGCCAGGGGCACCTGGCTCTGAAAGCTGCTGACAGCCTGCCTCCCCCGTCAGACTGGGCAGGGGCTGGGTGGACCAATTCATCTGGGTATGTCCCAGTGCCCAGCACAATGCCCCCGCGATCAGAGTCCACGGAGAGTGGGTCCTACCCATGGCTGTGTGACCTTGGGCAAGTGGCTGGCCGTCTCTGGGCCTCAGTTTCTGCCTCTGTAATCCCGGTTAGAGACACGTCTCCCCTTACTCCCGCTGGACATTAGCCCAGTGGTTCCCAGAGGCGCTCCGGCAGGCCTGGGCCCCCAGTCTGGCAACGGCAACGGCGGGGGGCAGGGGTGCTTACCTGTCCAGGCGCAGGACGCGGCGAACAGGAGGCAGAGCAGCGGCCCGAGGCGGCCGGGGGCCGGGCCGGCGGGCTCCATGGGCCGCGGCTGCGGAGCGAGGAGGGAGAGCGGCGGTGAGTGCGCGCTCGGGCGGGCGCAGGCTGGAGCGGGGAAATGACTAAGGCTCCCCCTCCTCTCCCCCCACCTCCCCCCGGCCGGGCTTCCCCCCCCCCACCTCCCCGGAACAGGCGCCTGGAGCGGCTTAGGAGCCGCCGTCACCGCCGCGATTTTCGGAGGAACCCCCCCAACCCCGGGAGGCCGGGAGACGGAGAGGGGGAGCGACCCCGAGCGCGCGAGAAATAAAGCCGGGGACGGCCAGGGAGAGGCGGCGGGAGAGAGAAACAGACCCGAGGGAGCCAGGCGGAGAGCCAGAGGCGCGGAGAGGCGAGAGAGGGGGAGAGGGGAAGTGGGGAGAGGGGGAGAGAGAGAGGGGGGGAGAGAGAGGGAGAGAGAGGGAGAGGGAGAGAGAGAGAGAGAGAGAGAGAGAGAGAGAGAGAGGGAGAGAGGGAGAGAGGGGAGGGAGAGGGAGGGAGAGGGAGGGAGAGGAGCGCGCGAGGCGGCGCGCGGATCGCGGCCCCAGCGCGGGAGAGAGGAGGACCGCGCAGGGGCGAGGGGCAGCCGCCAGCCCCGCCAGCCCCGCCGAGCCCCGCCGAGCCCCGCGCGCCGCCCCCGCCGCTGCCCACCTGCCCCTCCCGGGCTCCTCGCGGCGCCGGCGGCTCGGCAGGGCTCGCTCCCGGCCCGCAGTCCCGGCCGCTGCCCCCGCCCTCCGGGCAGCCCGGCCCCCTCCCGCGCGCCCGCCCGCCCGCCCTCCCCGCCTCCCTCCTTCCCGCCAGCCCGGGGAGGCTGCGGGGCTCGGGCCCGTGGGCCCCGTGTAGCCCGCCGGCCGCGCGCCCGGGGGAGGGGAGGGGGAGGGGGGAGGGGAGGGGGCGGGGGGCTGCGTCGGCCCCAGCCCTCCCGCCGGGCCCCGAGCCCCGCCGCCGGCCGCCCCGCGAGCGCCCGGGACCGGACGGGCCGCCGGCCGCAACGCGGTGCCAGTCCGGGCGCCCGCGCCGCTCCCTCCCGCTTGCCCGGTCCCGGCCCCGGCCCCGGCCCCGGTCCCGGTCCCGGTCGCGGTCGCGGCGCCCCGTTCCGCCCGGACCTGCGCCGCCGCGGGGGCTGGGACGCGGGGGAACGCCGCCGGGGCTGCCCAGAGGCCGGGCCCCGCTCCACTTTGCGCAAACTTGTTTTCCTAAGGTCAGCGCCGCGGGCCGGCTACATCGTCCTCTTAAGGTGGACCGGGGAAGTTGCGGCCGACCTCCCCGCCGCCTCCGGACCCGGGCCGCGCGGCGGGTCCCCGCTTCGCGCCCGCGGGCGGCCGGCGAGCGGCTGGAGGGGGCGCGGGGACGCGGCGGGGGCGTCCGCCTTGGGCCGCCCCGGGACTGCCCCTGCCCCTGGGCCCCAAAGCCCGACGCCCCTCTGGGGGTAGGCGCGCGCTCCAGGGGCCCGGTTCTTTGAGAGCTGGGCCGAGGTGAAGGAAAAGCAGGAAGTAAGTGAATGTAGGGGGAAGGGGAGAGGAAGGAGAGAGTGATGGTACAAAAATAGCGTGTGTGTAGGAAGGACTTCAGTACCGCCTGGAAAAGAGGCGCAGGGAAGCAGGGAGGAGAGGGAACGCCAAGGGGGGCTGTGGCGCCGAGAAGCCAGAGGGGCAGGGTCCCGACGAACCGGGGGCAGCGGGCTCTCTGGCAGGCAGAGCCAATTCAGGGGGTGCAGAAGGCCCAGGCCGGGTGTGGGGGAGAGGTGGGGCTTGAAGGCCTGGGCTCCCGGAAGATGCTGGGGGGCAGGAGTCGGGGAATGAGAGGTAGGGAGAGCAGGGGAAGGGGCCTGGAGACAGGACAGAGCTTCCTGGTGAAGCCTCTCTCTCTCTCTCTCTCTCTCTCTCTCTCTCTCTCTCTCTTCCCCTCACCCCCACCTCCCCCTCTCTCTTTTCCCTTGAGGGAAAGCTGTGTTCCCAACAGCACCCAGGTCAGTGAGAGGGACTGGGGATGCCCTGGCCACCTGGCAAAGGGATACCACACGGTAGGTAGGCATCAGAGGAGTCCAGGACCCTCTGCACATTGGAGGGATCTGGGCTTGGAAATAAGCTATAACCAATTTTGCTTCACAAGGCCTGTAGGAGAATATGAATGAAGCGAGGTGGAGAAAGAGCCAGTCCTATCAATAGAGAAGCAGTTGAGGCCCAGAAAGGGAGTGGACTTGCCTAAGGCCAAACAGCAAGGCCTGGAGTAACAACAAGATTTCAATCCCGGATTTCCAGGCTGCAGAACTTTGCAAAGTGACTCCACCCAGACTCCCTGTCAGTGTCCGGACAGGGGGTTGTGCTAAGACAGGGAGGCAGCGTACACCTGTTGAGAGCATGAAGCAGTCTCCCTGGGTTGCAATCCTGCCAGCCTTCTCTTCTGATTGTACAGACTTGAGGAAATGCCTTACCATGTCTGTGCCCCAGCTTCCCCATCTGCGATTAGGCTAACAGGAGGATCAACCTAAAAAGGCTGGTGCGGGGATCAGATGAATTCATATTTGTACAGTGCTTCAAAAAGTGCCTAGCATGTAATCTGAGTGCTACACAGCATTTGATAAATAAGTAAACTGGCAACCGTCCTTGGGAGCCCACAGGGTTCTGAGCAGTGTTTGAAGTGCAGGGGGATTTTCTTTTCTTGGGGTGTGGGAGGCACAGCAATGACCCACACAAGGTCCCCGTCCGTAAGCAATTTACATGCTAGTGGGGAGACAGATAAGTAGACGAGTAGAAATAATTCATGAACAACAGAAGATTAGGCATAGAGAGTGAGAAGTGAGGGCAGGGCCTGCGTGAGATGCTGGGAGCAGAGTCACCAGATGGGGCAGCAAGATGAGGATTTGGGGACTTGACATTCCAGGTGAAGGAAACAGCGCATATCAAGGCCCTGGGGCCAGCTTGCCCAGAGGGGAATGAGCAAATATGGGGGAAAGCGGTCCAGCCCCATGGCCTTGAAGACCTTGGTAAAAAGCCGGCATGTATTCTGCAGGTAGGAAAATCATTGGAGGGCATTGAGCAGGGAAGCACCATGGTCTGATTTATATGTTTTAAAAGGCCACTCTGGTGGAGGCTAGAGGGTATGCTTGAGAGAGGGGAGCATGGAATCAGGGCACCAGTGAGGAGGTGGTTTTGGGGTCCTCTTCATATCTGAGGTAGGGGACGGGCAGTCTCCATCTCTGCAGGCCACATCTGGCTGAGACCATGAAGGTGAGCCGCTGAGGCTCCTGGGAAAATCTATCACCCGAATCCTTCTGGGGTGCAAGGAGAGGGCAGGAGCTACCGCTGAAGGTCAAGAGACGAGGCGGTCTCCTGGCCTGGGCTTCCAGAAAGCTCTGCCATTCACTGTTCCCCAGCACACACACACACACACACACACACACACACACACACACACACACAGACCTGCTCAGGATTAGGAAGCTGCGGATTAGGAAGGATAATAATTGAACCACCTGCTATTTATATAGAGCACCTTTGGCAAAGGCAGCCAGCAGGGCTGCCCCACGCAGGGGCCCCTTCCATCCTCCTCTCTGCCCCAGGAGGGGGTCTGGCCTGTTCTGGTCCAGCCACCACAGAAAAATCACCGTTCGCTGTCAGGGCTGGAAGGTCACCAAGACCAATGGGCAGCTCAGTATGCTGAGGTTGGGTGACAATGTGCCTGAGGTCATGCAGATTATGGCAGATAATTGAGGTGAATCAGCTGCCTCCTCTGAGGAGGCGTCCTGGGTTGCCCTGGATTAAAATCGAACTGCTTTCATACATATACCCTTCATTCTTCATGCACTCAACAATGTTTATGAAGCACCTACTGTGTGCCAGGCACTGTGCTAGACCCTGGGGATAGAGCAGTTGGGAAAAAAAAAAAGACAAAAACTCCTGCCTGCAAAGGGCTGAAAGTTGCCAGCAGAGGGAAACAGACAACTCAACATGGAAGATGGGGCGAAGTCTACAGGGGAAAATGAGCAGGGAAGGGGCCCAGGAGAGCCTGTGAGAGGAGATGGGTCAAGGAAGGCCTCCGAGGACATGATATTTGAGGGAAGACTGAGGGATTCGGGAAGCCAAGCCAGAGGCTGTCCCTCCTTGCTTTTTCTTCTCTGTCACTCCCTGTGGGCAACCTGTCAGCAATCCCTGGCTCTACCTTCCCGGCATGTCCAGAACCAAACCACTTCTGGGTGCCTTCATCATCTCCCACCTGGGCACCTTCTTGCTGCCTTGGGCCCCCCTTCCCCCATCTCCTCTCTACGCAGCAGCCAGAGGGGCCTTTAGGGAAATCAGGTGGCATCCTTCCCCTGTTGTCCAGGGTGCACTGGAAAGCAGACTGGAACAAGCATGAGGAGGGGCAGGGGGATCAGGGGCTTCGGAGCCAAGACTGCCAATTTGGCTTCTGTGGCTCAGGGAAACGTTTTTATGTGTGTGTGTGAGCCTCAGTCTCTTTGTCTGTGAAACGGGAATAGGCAGGCCCACACTGACACGAGGGGTCACAGTCATGAAGCGGCCACAGTAGCTGGGGCGGGGGACGGGCCGTGGGTGCACACCAGCTCCCGTGATGCGTCATCTCACCGAAGCCCCAGCAACAGCACCATGTTCCCAGAGGCAGAAAGCCACCGGGCCAGGGTCACTGTTCCCCGGGCAGGCCGGGACCTGCTGGCAGCCCCCTCTGCCTGGGCTCCGCTGCTGGCTTCCCGGAGCCCCGGGCTGGCGTCAGCAGGCAGGCGGGCCGGCCAGGCTGCCTTTGCACGGGTCCTTTCGGGAGACGAGAGCTGCCAACCGCCTAGTTTTCTGGGCGAGAGGAGCCATGTGGAGTTACAGGCCTCAGCTATGGAGCCAGAACAATAAAAATAAAAATAGCCAGGACTCCCAGGCAGCCTGGGCCAGGGAGCCCACTGCCCCAGAGAGGAGCTCCTGGTGAGTGGTGAGCTAGCCTGGCGGGGGCAGGCGGTGGGAGCGTCCTCAGCTCCTCACCTCCTCACTGGGGCTTGCTCTGCTCCCTGCCCCGTGCTCCCTGACCTGTGTGCGGGCTCTGGCCGAGGTGCCCCTGCTCACGGGGATGGAGTGACCTGCCGGGGACACACAGCTGGTGAGTGGCCAAGCCAGTTAGGATTAGAACTCAGTTCTCCAGCTGCTGATCCCAGGACCTCATCTTGAGAACCACATGATGACCACATGATGGTTACAGCCAAGGAATTGGAGGCTCAGAGAGGTGAAGTGACCTGCCGAGTCCACGTGGCTAGAAAGTGACCCCATTATAAAACCAACAACTGGGGGCACCTGGGTGGCTCAGTGGTTGAGCATTGACCTTCAGCTCAGGGTGTGATCCTGGGGTCCTGGGATCAAGTCCTGCATCGGGGTCCCTGAGGGGAGCCTGCATCTCCCTCTACCTTCTCTGCCTCTCTCTGGGTGTCTCTCATGAATAAATAACATTTAAAAAGTAAATAAATAAAATAAAATGAAGGCACTGTCAAGTCCCCCTCCTTAGTGTGGTCTGAATATGTCATAAAGAACATGCCTGAAAAGCACGGTAGCTGCT